CTAGCCCTCAGTCATCCCCAGCCTGGAAGAATCACTTAGAGGAGGTGAGTCAGTTTGGGAGCTGTACTGATGATAAACATTAACTCCAAGATGAGGTAGAAGCAAGTGCTGTGAGACTATATGCCAACTCCTAAGTGGACTTAGAGACTAACCCAGTCCCAAGGCATCCCCTCAACTGGGGAGGACCAAATGCTACATGAAAAGCAGGCTCTTGGGGCTGTTGTTATTAAAGCACAGCCACACCTCCTCATGGTAGCTTTTGAACCTGGCAGGCCTCCAAGTCTGTGCAGGAATGTGCCAATTCCCTGGCCCACTGCCGGAGTGTGCTCAGCACATACCTGAATGCCCTAGAGGAGCTTTATTCAGATCACCCCAAGGGAGTGGGCTTGCAGATCCTGATCTATGCCTTTAAGTTTGGTTAGTCCCAGGATCCTGGGGTACCTTCTTCATCCCCACACTTGCTAAGCTGTCTATTCAGTATCATCAAGGCCTCTCCCACCAAGGCATTTTCTTTATAACTAATCTTACAGGACTGCAGTTTCAGACAGTTCACCACCTGCAAGCCTGAACAGGAAATGATCCGATTGCAGATATTAAGAATGCAACTTTCTTTGGCAAGAGTGTTTTGTAACCGTGAGATTGCATGAACTTCAGCTAAATATTTTATTTGATGAATCTAATGATTTACTAGAGCTTAGATTTACTAGAAAAAGCTCCAGGCTAATGGCTTGTCTCAACAAAAAGCAACCACTATACTACCCTCTTCTTCAATAGCTTGCTTCTTTTCTAACCACAAATGTGGCAGGAAAATATGTTCATGTATATTTCTAAACTATACCATTTTTATCTAAATAACTTGGTTTTCTATAATGAGTCCCAAACCCCCACAATAACTGGCTCATTCTGAATACTTTAAGTTAGTATTAAGATGGGTAGAGATTATACAAAAATAAATCCACCAGAGAGGAGACTAACATATGAGTGTAAACTTTAAAAAATATATATATCACACACAGTTCATTTTGAGGCTAAATAATATCTAAGGACAGGGTAGGTGTTAAACAAACTATTATGACTATAATCACCTCTCAGTGTGTAGAGTCTAGGTGAGTGCAATTGTATCAATACATCTCTCATCACCCTTTAACAGAGTATATACTTTACCTAAAATTTAAACATTAATGTCATAAATTTTATGGCATATTTATCATTAATCACTTACTATGTGAATCCCTTGGTACCAGGTACAAGATAGGAAATGAGAAGGAAAATAACACTATACATTTACTTTACAAAGCTACCTTGACACATATGATCTCTTTTGACCCTATGAGTTGGGACTACAGATATTAAACCCACTATGCAAGGAGAGGAACTGGTTTGCCAAACTTAGAGCAACTTACCCAAGTTCACCATTGACAAGATCAAACCAAGAACTTCAGGTTCTTGACTACCAGCTCAGTGCTGGGACACTAGCTGTCTACCACAAAAAGGCTTCTGCCCTCAAGGAATTAATCTCTGATACCTAATGCCTTGGCCGGTGTTTCTCAGATATACCAAATTTCTTCCCAGTATATCTCACCAACTCCTGGTCCAACATTATATTCTGAATCTAATTCAGGATAATTATAGAAAGAGGTTAGTTATTAATGTTACTGATGATTAACAGAGGTGAGTTCCTTCTGAAGGCTAGAATTATTGAGACTGAATAAAACTGATTTAGGACATAGCACTTAAAATATAATCTATCACTGGGATAAACACCTCATTTTGCTTATGGGCCTGACACTGCCCTCTAGTGCCAGGAAGCACAGAAGCACAGTGATCATTAGCAAATTGATGCATATGAACCATTTACTATGTATAAAAACACTTTCCTAGGCACTTTGGACAAAAAAGAGAGAAAAGGTAAAACCTGTCACACATATGCAAGTATAAAAATTACATACACCTCTCAAAGGAATCTATAAATATAATGGAGAAGATAAGAAATGTAAAACAAGTCACTATAATCAGTGGCAGTGTTCAAATTGCTTTAAGAGTTTGCAGATAATAAATTACTAGAGTTCAAAAAGGATTAGGTAAACTTCATAGGGGCAGGAGTACATAAGCAATCTGAAAGGCTTAATAACTCAAGATGAACAACATGAGCCAAGGCCTGGAGGCAGGAAATATTATAAGGTTAAGAACACAACCAACACTCTCCAATTTAGCTGGAGCATTAAGTTTGTGAAAGAGTAGCACAAGGAAGATTGGCTAAGGTCACACTGTGAAGGGTCTAGAATTGTGCTATCAGACATGGCAGCCACTAGTCACATATGCTATTTAAATTTAGTTATAATCCAATAAAATTAGTGGTACATATCTGTAGTACCAGCTACAGGCAGAAGGATCGCTTGAGCCCAGGAATTTGAATCCAGCCTGGGCAATATAGCGAGACGTTGTCTCTTCAACAAATTAAATTAAAAACTCAGTTTCTTGGCCGGGCGCTGTGGCTCACGCCTGTAATCCTAGCTCTTGGGAGGCCGAGGCGGGCGGATTGCTCAAGGTCAGGAGTTCAAAACCAGCCTGAGCAAGAGCGAGACCCCATCTCTACTATAAATAGAAAGAAATTAATTGGCCAACTGATATATAGAGAAAAAATTAGCTGGGCATGGTGGCGCATGCCTGTAGTCCCAGCTACTCGGGAGGCTGAGGCAGGAGGATCACTCGAGCCCAGGAGTTTGAGGTTGCTGTGAGCTAGGCTGACGCCACGGCACTCACTCTATCCTGGGCAACAAAGCGAGACTCTGTCTCAAAAAAAAAAAAAAAAACTCAGTTTCTTAATCACTTTAGCCACATTTCAAGTCTCAAAAGCTGCATTTGGCTGGTGGCTATTATATTGAATAGTATAAATCTAATATTGGTCAGTGCTATATCTGAAGGCTGTATAAAATCATAAACACCAATCTTTCAAGATGGCTCACTCCTCCCCAAAAAACATCATGCAGATTTGATCCTTGCCAAAGTCTATTAATAAAGAAAATAAAACTATGAAAAAAGAAAATATTAGGAATTTATCTATAATAATAAAACACAAGACGAAGAAGAATCATTTTCACTGCTATTGTTTGGTATGTCAAGGAAGAGCTATCTTTGTCCCTCAAACACCTGCTTTAGCCCAAAAGGATTAACATCAGATATCCTTTATACTCTTAGCATATAACACACAATCTATTTCTCTTATGTAGTTTACAAAATGACAGCAAGTTTTTAAAAACATGGGTATTTATTTATTGAAGTCATAATTTAAATCTTCTCAAGATACAGAAGACAATGCCGAATTCTAAATGTAAGGTTCTATGCACACTATAAAACTATAAACGCATACAGTCAATTGCTTGGGGTATTTATCTAAAATTACCATTCTGATCCTAATGAAAAGTCTGCATTTCTATTTCCTGTTGGTGTTTGCACTTAATGCAAAGATATATTTTTTTTTGGGGGGGGGCACTCTGTTACCCGGGCTAGAGTGCTATGGCGTCAGCCTAGCTCACAGCAACCTCAAACTCCTGGGCTCAAGCAATCCTTTTGCCTCACCCTCCCAAGTAGCTGGGACTACAGGCATGCGCCACCACACCCAGCTAATTTTTTTTCTATATATTTTAGTTGGCCAATTAATTTCTTTCTATCTTTAGTAGAGATGGGGTCTCACTCTTGCTCAGGCTGGTCTCTAACTCCAGACCTTGAGCAATCTGCCCGCCTCGGCCTCCCAGAGTGCTACAAAGATATTCTTAATGATCACACTGGGAATCTGGAACATTACAACCCTCTGGATTACAAAAAGTCAAAGGTAATAGCCTAAAGATTGAGGTCCTGAGCCATACTATCTCTCTGCTTTTCAAATAATCTTCCCTCTATATTGGCAAGATGTTTCTCTGACATTAGTCCAGAACACTTCTAGATATTCAAAGAAAATCAACTGCCTCTCAACCAGTTCTTAAAACTATTCTCTTTGCAAACGGGACATTGATTTGATTTCCTCTTTGGTGTGTTCATTCATTGCCGACTCCACATGCTCAAATCATCCTGCCAAATGTTAACAAAGTGCCAAAGAGATCTTGAAAACTCAAAACAAATGTCTGTTAAAAAGTAGCATTTATGTAATAAATATTATAGACTATATATAAATCCTGATATTAGATAATTAAGGTTTTCAAGCTAAGAGAATAAAATGATAATTCTTTTCTGTTCACATTTTATAGAATTTAGATAAAGTCCCTACCCTCTTTTTTTTCATAACCCAAAACTCTTCTGAAAGAATTTTCCTCAAATTTAAAACTGAATTTTTCTGCAGAACTCAAATGTGTCCATTCTACTCCCAAAGAATATTTTTGTCAGCAGTTTAAGAAATATGAAAGAAGACTGTTCACAAAGGAAAACTCCTTTTAGATTGATAAGTCCAGTCAAAATTGTTCACCATACCCAAAACTAAGATGCAATACTAGTAGAAAGCCTTCCAAGTGTTATTTTACCTTAAATTATGATCTTAGTATTATGAAACTTTAGAGGTTATCTACCTACTTTCAGTATTTGACAGAAAAAACTGAGGTCATCAATAGCTTTCTATTTATTTGTATAGTATCTATGGCCATTTTATTGATAAAACATTGAATTTGAGCCACGTAAAGAGGTAGAAACCCATCTTATTAAAGTTTTTTTCCCCTTTATTCTACAATCTAGGCTTGGTTATATGAGCTGTGTATTAGGGAAGGAAAGGAATAAGAAAGTCGAACACCCTAATCACTGTCCCATCAGGTCATGAAATGTACCCTAAAGTACTGTGCCCAGTTATCCATCTGTTGGATGCTCGAGAAACTTTAAAATAAATCCTGGGAGAATAAACTATCCAAAGTCAAAGCTTGGATGGGTACAGAAAAATAGGAAGGGGATAAAAACATGCAAATACCAAAGGGATAAAAACAAAAACATGCAAACACCAAAGGGATAAATACTCTAACCTTCCCGCAAACTGTGATAAGGGGTCAGGCACACGGCTGAGTAGCTGTCCTTTCCCGGCTTCAGGACAATCCACGAGAGTGGCAGAATCCTGCAGGTGGGCTGATGAATCTTGGTCTTCTCCTCCAGCATGCTAGAGATGTGAGATTCCAAAGGCCAATGTTGCAATAAACCAGTCTTCCTTCCCTCACTCCTTAAAGATGCCATTTATTATTTGCTGAAGATCTGATTAGCATTGCTCTTTAGGTTAAAGTGGCCACTTCATTTCTGCAGTGCAAAGGGTGGCAAGAACAGCTAGATCCCAAGTTTACTTAGTGAGTGGGGCATTAAAAGCAGTGACAGCAGAAGGTCAGAATCAGTAAGTCTCCTGGCAAAACATTTCTTCCTGTCAGCACTGGGCCTCAACACAGACACCTCCCTCCTCTACACAAATGCCAAAAAGCAGGACTGGGACGGTTTCAATGTGTAGAGTTGGAAATGAAGAGGGTTCCCTTGGACAAAATGCTCGTAGCAACCAATCAACCTCATTCACCCAAAATAGTAAACAGTTGGTTTCTCTGCTCAGAACCAAAAGGCTGCTGCCAGACAAGCAGTATCACATGACCAAGTTCCCTCTTCTCTACCCTGCCCTCCCTCTCTTCTTGTGCAAAACCTGCACCAAAATGGAACAAGGAGCTGTAACACAGCACTATTTTATTTTCCTTGACATTTGTTTTTAAAATGCTTCTAGATGAAAGATACCAAATTGGGGGGTGAGGGGAGGTACCAAAGAAAAAACTCAGGAAGAATTTACTTTGAAAAAAGTCATAACACATCAATGAGATGGGAATCACAAACATAAAGATTAATTGGCAAATGTGCTCAATGAACAAACAAATGGATAGATATTTCTTAGCAATTTGCAAACACTTTGCTGATAAAAATCTCTAAAAGAAGATACAGCTTAGTACATATTTGATGTTTTCATTTAGAAAGAAAATAAAGGCTCTTAAGATGCTAGCTAGTGTCAGAGATAACATATTGAGACAACAGTGGTAATTTACCAAAAATTTGAGATTCATACCCTTATCTTGTTGACCTCAGCTTACCTCACTATTTGATTATACTCCTTAGATGTCATTAGTCTCATCATTCAAATCACTGGATAGGCAATCAGGACAGCTACACCCACAGGCTGAACAGAAAGCTTTACCCAGCTGATTATAGAAACAGCTGCCACCATGACACTCACTGGCATTTCCACCCAAGGGGCAGGGGAAGGTAATAAGTCTGGCAGCACAGATGGAGCCAGATGTGCCACCATACTGTTCTCCCTACAAGTTTCCTTAGCATTTGAAACCTGAGCAAGGAATGCAACGCAGAGGCATGGAAGTAGAAACCTCTACGATCAATTTGTTCCTAGGAAACTAGGTGGAGTATTAGAATCAAATGTGTCACTATCATCTGCCATGACCCCTACTCAAAGGGCCAACTAGGGGCTTTGGGAGTAGAGTCCCTCATTCTCATCTACCCCACACACTATAAATTGCTCAATAAATATTTGTAACAGGGAAAGGAAAGAAAAAGAAAAAACTTACATCAGAAACCCTTAATTTCAGCAACACCTTTTCCCAACAAGAACATACGGAGATGATTATTTGGCTAGTGTTGGAATACAAATACTAATACAAGTACTAATAAATAATTTGCTATTGAGGATGAGGAGCAATTGGAACTCTCAGACATTATGGGTGGATACAAAATGATAATGCTACTCTGAAAAACAGTTTGGAAGTTAAGTTAAACTCACACTTACCACACAACCCAGTAATCCTATTCCTATTTACCCAAGAGAAGTGAAAACATATGTCCACATAAAAAGCTCTCCATGAATATTCACAGCAGTGTTATTAGTAATTGCCAAAAACCCAAATGTCCTTCAACTTGTGAATGGAATAAAAAATTATGGTACATCTATACAATGGAATACATCAGCAATCAAACCCCCTACAAACGACTGCTACAGGCAACAACACTGGTGAACCTCAAAGGCATTATGCTAAGTGAAAGAAGCCAAACACAAAGGCCACATCCTGTATGACTGCAGTTATATGAAATTCTGGAAAAGGCAAAACTGTACTGGCAGAAACCAGATCAGTGGTTTCCAGAAGTTTGGAACAGGAAAGGAGACAAATATTCTATAGATCTCTGTTGTGATGGTGGTTTACCTTTTACCAAAACTCATTGAACTATACCCCTCAAAAGGGTGACTGTTACTACATATAAACAACCTCAATTTTTTTAAAAAAAGCAGATTACAAAATAGTACACAACAGAATGGAATTGTTGTTAAGAGTACAGGCTCTCAAAATTGATTGCCTGGGTTCAAATCTTGGCTCTACCAGGTACTAGCTGTGTGACTTTGAGATATTTAACATCTCTATGCCTCCATTTCCTCATCTGTCAAGTGGGAATAACAGTATTCACATCAGAAATGCTGTAATAAATGGGTTAATGTATGTAAAGCATTTAGAATAGTACCCATTCTATAAGCATTGAGTAAATTCAAGCTGTTGTCATCATACAATGATGTAATACAAATACATCCAATCTCTATATATGCACTGAAAAGAATAGATGGATGGTAATCACCTGGTTGGTGGGAATAGAATGATTTTATTTTCTCTTTTTCCCTTTTGTTTATCTATATCTTCTAAATTTTATTTCTTTCTTTTATTTATCTATTTTTGAGACAGAGCCTCACTCTGTTGCCCAGGCCGGAGTGCAGTGACATCATCATAATTCACCACAACCTCAAACTCCTGTGCTCAAGCAATCCTCCTGCTTCAGCCTCCTGAGCAGCTGGGACTACAGGTGCATACCACACCCAGCTAATTTTTCTATTTTTGTAAAGATGGTGTCTTGCTTTTCCTCAGGCTGGTCTTGAAATCGTGACCTCAAGTGATTCTCTGGCCTCGATCTCCCAGAGTGCTAGGATGTGGCCAGCCTAAATTTTCTAAACTTTCTATATTAAAGAACTATTGCTTTTACAGTAAGAAAAAAAAAATTTTTTCCCCTCAAAAAAACAATGAAGGAAAGGACACTAGGTTGGGAATAAGGAGTCCTGGTTTTCAGCTATGTTGCTGATCTCTACAAAGGAGTAGCTAGAACAGATAGGGTGTCCTTTATCTCTGAAGTGCCTCTCTAAGATTTATGGTGGGATTAGGCAAGCTATACTCTGTTTCATTTTTCTGTGGATATTTATCATCTGCCTAGCAAGCACTATGTGTTGTAGACACAGAGAGATGAAACACCTAAGTCCCTGTCTTCATGGAGTTTACAACACAGGCTGTTCAAAGAAACAGAGACAGACTTATACTCACTTATACAATCCTTCAGCATGATAAGTGCTCTGATGGGAACACAGAAGAGGAGACCTAGCTGGGTTTGGAGGAGTCAGAGGAGGCCTTCAGGAGAAGACACCTGAGCCAAGTCCAGAAACGTTTGTCTTTTTTTAAAGCCAAACAAAAAAGATGGGAAGGGCATTCTAACAAAAGGGAGGGGAATGTACAAAGGCAAAAGTTGTGAAAATAATAATTACTTGGAGAATGGAGGACAGAGAGAAGGAGAAATCAAGAAAGGTCATTTTTTTTTTTTTTTTTTTTTGAGACAGAGTCTCGCTTTGTTGTCCAGGCTAGAGTGAGTGCCGTGGCGTCAGCCTAGCTCACAGCAACCTCAAACTCCTGGGCTCGAGTGATCCTTCTGCCTCAGCCTCCCGAGTAGCTGGGACTACAGGCATGTGCCACCATGCCCGGCTAATTTTATATATATATATATCAGTTGGCCAATTAATTTCTGCTCTTGCTCAGGCTGGTTTTGAACTCCTGACCTTGAGCAATCCGCCCGCCTCGGCCTCCCAAGAGCTAGGATTACAGGCGTGAGCCACAGCGCCCAGCCAAGAAAGGTCATTTTGACAACAGTCTGGAAACGAAGAAGAATGGGACTAGCAGCAGGGAGGCTGGATAGGAAGAGGGAAGCGAGAATTCAGAATACTGATAATCTCCAGAAATCACAAAGGACAATAAATGTTTTATTTCTATCTATTATAAAAGGCTATGTATGCCACAAATAAACCTGATAAATATTAAAGATGTACTTTACTATATTTACAAATATAGCATATACTTACAAAATATTACAAAATGTCAGTACACTTCTATTTTCCATGGTTAATTGTACATACCTGGTCATTTAATAAATATTTATTGAGTGTGTGTTATGCATATGGTAGGTGCTGGGAGAGACGGAAGATACCAGGCAGTAAGCAGATGAACTACCAAAGTAACCAAGAGAACCAGAACACTTTTTGTCTATCCAAGGCCTATCCAGATCTTCTTCCCCTCAGAAGTAGGATAGAGAGAGTGTGATATAATGAGTGGCTAAGAATCTGTACTTGGAATCAGACAGACTTTGTTCAAATTTTGGCTCTTATCACCTACCACCAATCTGGCTTCTGGTAAGTTACTTAACCTTTCTGAGCTTTCATTTCCTTACTTGAAAATGGGTATGATATGATCATCAAATTGATATGGTGTTAAGATGAATTTAATGAGACAATCAATCAATAATCAGTGTGTCAAGCTAAGCGCAGTGGCTCACACCTATAATCCTAGCACTCTGGGAGGCTGAGGCGGGAGGATTGCTCAAGGTCAGGAGTTTAAAACCAGCCTGAGCAAGAGCGAGACCCTGTTTCTAATAAAAATAGAAAGAAATTAGCAGGACAACTAAAAATATAGAAAAAATTAGCCAGGCACGGTGGTACATGCCTGTAGCCCCAGCTACTTGGAAGGCTGAGGCAGAAGAATCGCTTAAGCGCAGGAGTTTGAGGTTGCTATGAGCTAGGCTGACGCCATGGCACTCAAGCCCAGGCAACAGAGTGAGACTCTTATCTCAAAAAACACAATAATAATAGTGTGTCAGATATATAAAAAATGTTCAATCATCCCTTTTATTATTAATTTTGATTTTTCACTTTTAGGACAGCCTATGATCTCTTACAACACAGACAAAAATACACACAGGGTAGAAAAAAGGGGGAGCAAGGTACAAAAAAGATCTGTTTAACATTACCAAATTCACATTTTAGGGAATTCACAACCGTTTCCTCATAAAGATATCATGGTTGGAACTTACATTCCTTTAGGATTTCTCAAACTGTTAGTATCTGCCTACATTACATGACCTAGTATATTAAATAAAAACCATCACCCAAAATAGGGAGCCAATCACAATCTCTCCCAGGATTCTTTGTTCTGATTCTTTAATACTGAGTCATTTAAAGAGCAGAGACAACACAGAGTACTGATAAGTAGTCTGAACACAAAACTGTGGCATGGAGTTGCCAGAGCACACTGTGGACTGACCATTTACTGCAAGCAGAACTTTCTGAAACAGAAACACCATAATGAAAAGAGAGTTTCACTGGCTGTGCCTCTGAAGTAATCATGTCTTCCAAGAGAAAGGAGGCACAGCAATTAATATCTTTCTCTAGCCAAAAAAAATTTTGAATAATTTTTTTAAATGCTGCCTCCCTGTAATTATTAATATATACTAAAAATGTTTTAACTATCTTTTGAAAAATGTTTATTTCTTATAAATGACTTTGAAAGCTTTTGAAAGCAGATGTAAAACACAAATAAAAAATGTCTTCTCTGTGACTCTAACACCTAAAAGCCAAATTGACTTTACTCAAACTTTCCCCATAAATTTCCCTTGGCACCGAAACCATGTGTGTGTGACACTTGAGCTCAAAAACCAGAACTTAAGAAGCAGAGGAAACCTGGATAGGATATTCAAGTACAATTTTTTATACTTAGTAAAGCAGAAGTCTATGTCTACAAACAGAAAGAATGCCATACTTCATATTGCTTTCTTTTATTGGTGGTTTACAATCCCCTTTAATCTACAGTCTTCTGTAGATTACTTATGCTTCCAGGGAACCCTAAGATCTTTTGCCTACCTAGTGCCATAGAGGACACCTATCTGCTACCCTCCTCCACTCTGCCTTGCTCACTCACACATCCTGCATCAATGCACAAAGAAGCCGACAGCTAGTGAAGCTTCTGAACAACCTGTGCATCCCAGCTCTGCTCCATTCTGCTTTAATGGCCTCCAGGCTGTCCCCTGTGTTAGCAAGAAGAGCCTTAAAGAAGAGCCTTAAAGAAGAGCCTAAGGCTGGGCGCGGTGGCTCACGCCTGTAATCCTAGCACTCTGGGAGGCCGAGGCGGGTGGATTGTTCGAAACCAGCCTGAGCAAGACCCTGTCTTTACTAAAATAGAAAGAAATTAATTGACCAACTAAAAATATATATACAAAAAATTAGTTGGGCACGGTGGCACATGCCTGTAGTCCCAGCTACTTGGAAGGCTGAAGCAGAAGGATTGCTTGAGCCCAGGAGTTTGAGGTTGCTGTGAGCTAGGCTGACACCAAGGCATTCACTCTATCCTGGGCAATAAAGCGAGACTCTGTCTCAAAAAAAAAACGAACTACAAAGGAAGGTTGTAGGCACCTCCTTTAAGTGGGTGCAGGAGCGCTGAGATAACATCACTAGAAATTCTGTCCGTTTGTGCTTCACCATTACTGCTTGTGATAGCCCCATAACACTATACCACCATTTACTCTTTAAGTGGTTCAGACATCACCAGCCAATCAATTTCTCCACATTATAAACTGTCAACAAAATTACACACAGTCTGGGAAAAAACTATCAGATGATGTCAAACTATATTTGTGCTGGCTCCTTCTCACTACTTAGTTATCTTTGATTCTTCATGTCGTTCAAAGCAGAAGGCTACCAGAGCTCCTCCATCACAAGGCCATCTCTCTTCATTATCTCCTCTGCAGCAAGCAAAGGCCCTGAATATTCATTCTTCTGCAAATCCAGACATTTCCACTAGAATTCGAGTACCCCAGCACCACTCACTCACCAGGGCTATGTGTTCTGCTTCATAGGCATCAATCCTCTAGAATCCTCTAGCTCACATGATACACACAAGGTCAGGACAAACAGGAGAGCTATTTACATACTGGAAATCTGAAGGAAGTTTTAGCCTGTTAAGATAATGAGTTCACTGAGCTTAAAAGGTATACCATACTTATAGTCAATTCCAATTTGGTATGCTTTATAATATTTTTTAAAAAGAGTGGAGGCCAGGCAAGGTGACTCAGACCTAGCACTTTGGGACGCCGAGGTAGGAGGATCACTTGAGCTCAGGAGTTTGAGACCACCCAGAACAATAGCAAGATCCCATCTTTACAAAAAATAGAAAAATTAGCCAGGTTTAGTGGCCTGCACCTGTAGTCCCAGCTATTCAGGAGGCTGAGGATGAAGAGTGGATTGAGCCCAGGAGTTCTAGGCTGCAGTGAGCTATGATGACACCACTGAACTCCAGCCCAGCAACAGAGGAAAACTCTATCTCAAAAAAAAAGTGTGGAGTGTCTTTCATCACATATACTAACTTGAGATTCTGATAAAATTCAACAAATAATCTTTATCAAGACCCTGCAATGAAGATATCAAAATTTCCCAGGATACTTAAAAAAAAAAAAAAAAACTCTAAAGGTACATGGACTCATTCAAAAGATTCAGTTAAATTTAAAAATTATTAGTTTCATAGCTTTAAATGTAAATGGTAGGTGGCTGCATGGGC